GATGAGGATGGAGGCCAGCTCTACTTATGACTATTTGTCTAAAACTCTAAGCAAATAAGTATCAAACAGAATTCCAAAAGCACATTAAAAAAAAACAACACACATCATGATCAAGTGGGTTATATTCCAGGAATGAGAAGATGATTAAAAGATAAAAAGAAGTGAATCAGATAAACAACTCTAAAATCTAAAAAGGACAACAAAGTAAATTGAAAGAAAATTTAAGAAGGAAATCATAAAGATAAAAATGTTTTGAGTTACAAAACAGAAGAGCACTGAAAATCATATATAAGTCAAAATTAACAACAACAAAATAGACAAACCACTAGTTAACCTAGAGGAAAAAGGGGGAGAAATTACAACCACAAAAATTAACAAAGGAAAATAACTTCTCAAGGAAAGGAAATTAGAAACATTCATAAGAGACTATTTACATATCTCTTTAGTAATCACTAAAAATCCAGATGAAATGGATATTTCCTAGGAAAACATGATTTATAAAGCCAATACCAATAAAGATAGGAAGTTTACATAAACCAATATCCATAGAATAAAGCATAGTTACCAAAGGTCTCCTGCCTCCAACACACATACACACACACACACACACACACACACACACACAAACACACTCCTCTTCTGCCACTCCATCATCATCATTACAAGCCCACACAATTCCCAAGGGAGCTCTATCAGATAATCAAAGATCAGAGACAAGGGCAGAAAGAAAAAAGAAAAGCTTCTAAATATTTTTACAAAGCAAGAACAGAATTGATACCAAAACATTATAAGTATTGCACATACATACATACACACAAAGAAAAAAGGACAAGAACGCTCATGGTAGCATTGTCATGGCAACAAAACTGTAGCTAGCCAACATCCAAGTGAAGAGCAGGTAAGTAAATTGGGATATATTCCTCAGCAGTGAAAATGAGCAAACTAGAACTCCACATAGCAACATGGGCAGGTCTCAAAATCAAGCCAAAGAGAAACTGTAGGAAGACACATGTGGTATGGTCCCATTTATAAAAAGACAAAATTAAGCCATGTGTTGTTTAGGGATACAGACAGGGAGGAAGGAGTTAAAGCAGCTGGTCTGCAATCCCTCCACCCCTTTTGTAGGAGTGATGTTTCTAGGGAAAGAAAGAAGGCAATGACCCCAACTAATCTTTTGTAAATATGCTAATAACTAGACTATCTAATAAATAGCCTGATGACATTTCCTAAAATGAGAGTTCTTATTTCTGGAATGTCTTTAGCAGGCCAGGATTGGCTAAGGATCCCCTATACTAAGTGAACAGAATTTATGGATTGATAAGGCATGACACTCCGGCCTGTGTAATAGGGATGCTTCATAACTGAATATTACTCGCAGGGCAAGGTAACTTGGAAATCACTCTTGGAAACCCTGTCTATTATTCTGGGTCAGAAAGCCCACATCTGATGCATGAGAAAAAGACCCAGGAGTCACAAGGGATGGCCCAGATCTTTCCCTGCATCCCCGCACCTGTGTGTTCTGTAAAGTAGTAGCCTAGGTAGATTAGCATAGCTCTGCTATAGACAGCAAGATCTCAGATAGTCAATTCTTACTTGATAATATGATCATTTGTGTTAGCTCAAAATAGCTATTTTCAGACAAAACCATTAAAAAAAAAAAAAAGGCAAGAGAATGGTGCTGGGAGTTAGTTGAAGGACACCAGGAAGGGCCACTGAGGACACTTCTGAGTTACTGGTAATATTCTTGCTCTTAAACACAAGTGTATTAGTCAGAATTTTCCAGAGAAACAAAATAAATAAGATATATATGGAGATTTAATATAAGGACTGGGCTGACATGATTATGGCAACCGAGAAGTCCCAAGATCTATGGCCCAAAGGCCTGGAAACCAAGGGAGCCAATGGTGTCAGTTCCAGCTGGAGGTCAAAGGTAAGAGGCAACCTACGTCCCAGCTCACTTCCGTCAGCAGAGAGCGAATTCTCTCTTGCTCAGCCTTTCGTTCTATTCAGGCCTTCAACGAGTTGGATGAGGCCTGCCAACAGGGAGGAGGGCAATCTTCTTTACTCAGTCTATCAATGTGAATGTTAACCTCATCCAGAAGGTTAAGGATACACACTGCACTGACACACGACGATGTCTGGTCAAATATCTGGGCACTCTGTGGCCCAGTCAAGCTGATACATAAAGTTAACTATTTCAACAGGTGTCTGCTTTGTTGTTCTTTGAGTGACACATATAATCTACATTTGTGAATGATATGCACTTAATGCTAAAATATTAAGCAAATACCATTTGACCAAAGAAAGACGGTGGGCCCAGAACACCTTTTGAAACACTGGCATGAATGGAAAGAGGAAGACGGGGAGGAAGCTTGAGAGTCAGGCAGCCTGGAAAGTAAGTGTGCTCTGAAGCCGAAAGTAGTCTCCTGGGGGAGGAATCCAGCATACTTTTCAAAATTCTCTCCCAGTTGGTTCACTGGTGGGAAATTCACCTGTATGATGCTGTCTTCTGGTACATGGGGGATATGTCTGGATTGCAACTCAAGCAACTGTCATATAAAACACTGAGAAATCTCAGCCACAGTGCACTGTAGGTGTCAATTATGCTGTGAGTGGTATTATTCAGCACGACTTGATCTTCTCCCTTCAACAAGTAGAATGTGTCCTCGAGCCAGCTGAATCTTCAGACATAAAAATGACTCAGCTATTCACCAAAGTTGAATCAGAAGACACAAGCAGCCTCTTTGAAAAACTTAAGAAGGAAACTGACGCTTTAACTCTGCTGGCCCCAGCTGCTGGACACATAATCATTCCTTCTGACCACACAGAATCTCAAGCTATAATCATACAAGCCCCTGGTTGAGCAGAGATTGGGCTTCTGAACAGGAGTTAAGGGGGTGAGGAAGGGAGGTGTCTGTATTGGGGAAAGTCCGTCTTCTACAGTCCTGTGAGCCAACTGTCTATTCCCTTCTTTCTCCATCTTTAGTATTCTTACTGTACTCCTATGTTATCCTGTCTTCCATACCCCTCCATCACTCACTGATGAAACACGAAGGTGTGAGCAGATAACTGGGTAACTCAGTGAGGCTTCGTTGGAGGAGAAGGTGCCCTAAGCAGGAGCACAGACAGCTGGCCAGCCGTGGGGAGCTTTGCGCTCTGACCACAGACTCTCTGGCTCGGTTTCCTCTGATTTCTCCTAAGATCCTACAAAGATAATTCTGCTCTGTCCCTCAGCTTGTCACTTGTGAGAGTAATTTTTAGGAAGTAGTAAGTTACATGTCAGTCTCTCCACTTCTACCCAGTGAAGATTACAGTGGAGCCATTTAGCTGGGAAATATCTCTCCTAGGACGCCAGCTTTATGTGCACACAGATTTATGAACAAAACTGTTCATCGTAACAGCATTTATAATTGCAAAACCTTGGAAGTCATCTAAATCTGAACAATGAGAAACTGATTTTATGTATTATGGTACTTGCATACAAACAGGATATTATGTTTCTAATAAAACAAAATTCTTGAAGATGATTCAATGACAAAATGGTTCAAACATATTTACTAATAAAAATTCAGTACACAACACTGTATACAGACTACTGGCCCCATAGTTAATGTTGTTCTTGCTTAGCCACTAAGTTTTGTCTGACTCTTTTGTGACCCCATGGACTGCAGCCTACCAGGCTCCTCTGTCCATGGGATTTTTGCAGGCAAGAGTACTGGAGTGGGGTGGCATTCTCTGGAGTTGATAGTCTATACATACACAAAAAAGGCTAGAAAAACAGACTAATATGTTAACCACAGTTAGTAAATAAAATTATGGGTAATTTCTTTATCTTACATTTTTTGGTATTTTCCAAATATTCTCCAAAGAGTACGTACTTGTAGCAAAAGGAAAACAAAAAATAAACCAAAAAAAACCACCACAGGGACTTCTCCGGTAGTCCAGCAGCTGAGAACTCACCTGCCAGTGGACAGGAGTTTGCTCCCTGGTCCGGAAAGATCCCACATGTCATGGGGCAACTAACCCCATGCACCACCGCAACTACCCACACTCTAGAGCCTGTGAGTCGCAACTACTGATGCCCAGATGCCCTAGAGCCCATGTTCCACAATCAGAGACGCTTTCTATCACCATGAGAAGCCTGAGCACCACAACTAGAGAGTGGCCCTTGCTTGCTGCAACTAGAGAGGAAGGGCCTGCATGCATTAACAAAGACCCAGAGATCTGCTGGAGAAGGGATAGGCTACCCACTCCAGTATTCAGGGTCTTCCCTTGTGGCCCAGCTGGTAAAGAAACTGCCTGCAATGCGGGAGACCTGGATTCAATCCCTGGGTTGGGAAGATCCCCTGGAGAAGGGAAAGGCTACCCATTCCAGTATTCTGGCCTGGAGAATTCCATGGACTATTAGTCTATGGGGTCACAAAGAGTTGGACACAACTTTCACTTTTTCACTTTTCAGAGTTGCCAAAAATAAATAAAATAATTTAAAAAAAATTTTTAAAATACCATGATGAGGCAAGAGACAAGGCAGAAGAAAGTGAAAAGTTTAGTATCTCTAATAGCATTTTTCACACATTTTCATTCTGCACTGGACTCTACGAAGTATGTAGAGCCTGCCAGAAGTTCTACCGGCAGGATAGGAAACATGCTTTCCATGCCTCTCTCTCGCTCTCTCTCCCCCTCAAGAATGAATGTTCTTTAAAATAGCAATCACTCAATCAATAAGCAAGCAAGCTACCAAATTTCTCCTAGATAAGGGATTCTCACACTGGAGTGTCCTCAGAATTACCTGGAGGGTCGTACAACACAGATCTGGGCCCAGCCTCTGAGTTTCTGCTTCAGCAGGTTTTAGGTGGGGCCTGAGAACTTGCATTTTGGCAGCTCCGAGGTGTTGTGAATGCTGCCACACTGCATGCAGAACCACTGGTCTAGAGGATGTTTATCTCAGCCTTTGATGTGTCTGAGCTGTAACAAGGCCCTTAAAAGGCATATCCTCTTACCTCATAGATGTTCAACTGCTCCACCAAGTCCAGGTCAGTCCCTTTCTTGGTCAAGTGCCGCTGGGACACAGCTGCAATGCCCAGCTCCTCCAGGCAGTCCACCACGTCGTAGAAGGTGTCTTGGTCTGGCAAACCGGACAAGGTCTGAATGAAGAACAGGACACAGTGTCTTAGGGGACTGTCACAGGACATTTTTTGCATGGTAGCCAGTGGCCACAAGTGTAACAATTGGAGCAAAGCAAGACAAATGACAAGTTCGTTGGAGAAAAAAGCTTCTTTAGTGTGGTAAGCAGACTGAACCCCAGGATTCCAATACCTGGGGTACAGGTGCTGTACAATCCCCCACTCTCATGATTAGGTGACATGACATGATAGGGCAAAGGTGAAAGGTCATTAAGGTCCCAAATCAGTTAAGTCTGAAAAAGGGGAGAGTAGCCAGGTGGGCCTCACCTAATCAGGTGAGCCATTAAAAGGGGGTTAGGCCTTTTCTGAGCATAGAGACCAGAAAAGACATTATCCTGTTGGCCCAGAAGAAGCTGCAAGCTGCCATGAGTCCCACAGCTGCAAGGAAGTGAGCTCTGCCAACAACCACAGAGGCTTGGAAGGGAAATCCAAGCTCCAGACGAGACGCCAGCCCTGGTTGACACCTTGACTGCAGCCTTGGGAGACTCAGCAGAGGGCCCAGAGGGGCAGTCCCTGGGCCCTACCCCCATGGAAACTGCGAGATCGAAGTCTGTGATATTCCAAGCTGCTAACTTTGTGATAATTTGTTACATGGCAATCGGAAACTAACATACTAGAAACTCCTGTTAAGAGTGATCTACCAACAGCTGGAGTTAGAACAATTTAATGATTCCCTTTTCTTTCGGTTCTATAGGCCTTCCCCTTGGTCTAAGATATTTACGGCAATGTGAGAAATTTCAAAGTGGCAATCAAGAGACAAAAAGATAACCCAGGATAGAAAAAGCCAACTTCTCTTTGGATTATGCTTCTCTTTTTTTTTAAATGTATTTATTTATTTTTATTGGTGGATAATTACTTTTCAATATTATGATGGTTTTTGCCATACATCAATATGAATCAGCCATAGGTATACACATGTCCCCTCCATCCTGAACCCCCTCCCACTTTCCTCTCTACCCCATCCCTCCTAAAAGAAGGAAGATATTCAGATCAGGCCTCTGCTTAGAGCTGGAAAGACCCTTGGGGTGATTTACTAAAAGCCCCTTATCTTATAAATCAGGGGGATGAGGGTAGAGAGGTAGCAGGAAGTTACTAAATAATAATTAATAAAACCCTGTGCTCAGACCTGCTATTCCAGTCTTCGTGCCTTCTAAACAAGCTGCTCTGGCCTCAAATTTCAGACACAGAGCTTCATTCCCTGTTTATTTCACTATTATTGCATTTCAAAATTATTCTAAACACGGTGACTTGCCTTGAAAGGAAAAAGACCAATATTTTCTTAAGGATCATCTCATGATACCAACTTCTTTTAACACTTCTATTTTGGGGTTATTAATATTGGAAAGAAATATCTCTGCTCCTAACCCAAGTAATGGCTATTTCCCTTCTATACTGAACGAAGAGGATACAACTCACTGCCACTGAGACTAGAAACTAAAGAAAAATAGCTGCAATGCAACAGCTTAATCCATCAGGAGCCCCAGCAAGGACACCGAACAGAAGACTGTGAACCAGTCAGCAGCTGTGATAAATAAACAGGTGCTCACACCAAAGTGACCAAGTGTGCAAGCATATGTGGGTGTCTGCAGGTGCCAGGCAAGGCAGTCACCACTGGGTTAGCAGACAGCAGTCCCCACTGACCTAACCTAAAAAGTACATACCCATCCAAAGAACCTTCTCATCAGAACAAGTCCATCTTTTCTTTTACTGAAAACTCTAGAACTTGTTAAAAGATGAAGGGAGGGAGGAACCTCCCTTGTTGTCCAGTGGTTACCAATCCACCTTCCAATGCAGGAGATGAGGGTTTGATCCCTGGTTGGGAAGGAAGATCCCACATGCTGCAGTGCAAATAAGCCGTGTGCCACAGAAGAGAAGCCTGCACACGGCAAAGACGACACAGCACTGCCAGATAAATGAGCAAGCGAGCAAGTGTTAATTACTCAGTCATGTCTGACTCTTTGTGACTCCATGGACTGCATTCCACCAGGCTCCTCTGTAAATGGAATTCTCCAGGTAAGAATACTGGAGTGGGTTGCCATTCCCTTCTCCAGGGGAATCTTCCCGACTCAGGGATCAAACCCAGGTTTTCTGCATAGCAGGCAGATTCTTTACTGTTTGAGCCAACAAGGAAGCAGCGCCCAAATAAGCCAGATAAATAGTAAATAAATAAAAGATGAGAAAGAGGGAAATGGTGACATAAAGGCCAGGGCAGGGCTAATGACCAGAGGTGCCCTGACTAACTGCTGACTGCCCACCACGGGCGAGCTGACATGCAGTGTTAGATCCCAAACCTCCTACACAGCAGTGCGGGGTGGGTGCGGGGGTAGGATGGGCACAGAGAGAGGCCTCTGCTGTCTCCTCAGCAGCCAGGTCCCCTCCTTTCTTCTTCCCTTTTCTTCCCTGCAGAGAGTCCATCGAGATTCTTTCAGTCCAGGGGGTTAAATTCCTAGAACTAATCCCCGTTGCCTTTGCAAGCCCGACTATGATGGGGTGGTAGGAGGATTACTGTTAAAAAATTAAACCATTAGATCCATAGAACCAGACTCAGGGAGTCCTTGCTCAGTAAGAGGCGCAGAAATGAGGGTATTGAGAAGTCATCTATCATGTCCACGGTGAAAATGCAGGCTTGAGCCACATCCAGATGCCACCCCTCTCACATGTGGCCGTAGGGGAGCTGGCCTCCCACCACAATCAAAGATGGCTTGTCTCTCTGTCCGCACAGGGAGGGGGCTGTGCAGCCCCAAAACACCTATTTTCAGTGGATTCTCTAACATGTTCCGCAAACTCTGCCACGCTCTCACCCCTCCTGGGCCCTGTCTTCCCATATCTACCCTGACACTCATGGCTAACGTGCCTACTTCTGGCAATGGTGGCAGCCACTCCAGAAAACTCTGTGAGCAAATGTCTCGACACCTCCACTCTCAGACAACACTAGGGACCCCCTTTTCTGGTTTCTCTCAGACCTTGCCTTGCCAGGATTTGTGACAAGTAAATCTTTACAGCCCCTCTCAAAGGAGAAATCTCTGTCTTAGCAAACATTCTCTTTTCCTTTCCCTGGGTTTTCACTTATTCCATCAAATTCTTCTTGAGGGTTAAAACCAGGGTAGCGAAAGCCTATACACAAGTGTTCACTGCAGCAGGAGCATTTGTGAAAGTCAAAAGCTGTGGACACCCAAATCTCCTTCAGTGGATGATGAGATAACAAATGGTGGTGTATTGACACAATGGAACATGACGCAGCAGTGAAAAGGAGCGAACTACTAATACGCCTAGAGACATAGATGAATCTCTAAGACACTGTGCTGAGTGAGAGAAGTTAGCCTCAAACAGTTACATCCTGTATGGGTCCCACTTTCGAAATAATAGAACTACAGTGCTAGAGAATAAATCTGTGGTTGTCAGGGACATGAGTAGGGGGTCAGGATGTCACTATAAAAAGATAACATGAGTGTGAGATTTTGGGGGAGACATGGAGCCGTTCTATATGCTAATTGTGAAGGTCATCCATGACTTTATATGTTTTAGACCTTCCACAGCTAAATACCAAAAGAAAAGAGTTAATTTTACTGTATGATAACTTAAAAAGCCACATAGTCAAATCTAAAAACAAGCACTCAGTGTGAATCCCATCAGGTTACTCACCCCCCGGGCTCCACTAGAATAACTTCCCTCCCCGGGGCTCCCTGGAGTCGCCTTCCCTAAATGCTCCAAGCCAGCCCCACAGTGACACCTCTTGTTGTTCATGTCCCCACCTGCCTCATCTGATTCTACAAGGTGATCAATATCTGAGCTCCCAAAGTGGGGGAGGCCCACTGAGAGGACTGCAGCTGGACTGGGACAGGACACCACACAACTTCAGCTTGCAGGGTGAGAAATGGTTCGTTCCTGATGCTCGCTCAATCTAGTGATGACATGGAGGGGAGGAGAAGAGTTCAGGGGAGATTAGTCTGGATCTTGGAAATCCCTCATCAATGTGTCTGTTTAACCAAGGGAGTAAACTTCAGTCTCAGAGCCCTGAGCAGGCTAGGACTGTGTACCCTTGTTTTGTCATAAAAATGTTAATGTTTTGAATTCCATATTATTAGGCCCTCTTCCATTTTGTTGAAAGAAAAGTTAGAAAAGCAATACAATTTTCCAGATTTCAGAGTCTGCATTTTTTCCAGACCCACATTAGCACGTCAACGCGTGATGATGTTTCGGGTCTCAGAGAACGTTACTCACTGGAACGATCAATGTGACTAAAATTCAGCAAAAACAAACAAACCCAGTATGGGTGCCTGCTGATCTTTCTGAGGAAAGGATGGCACCTGGAATCGTGTCCTTGGAACCTTCCCTTGGGCCAGGACTAACAAATATGGGATGGAACCACCAGAAGAGAAAGAGTAAGCGAGGAATTCCTGGATGTTGGAGGCCATCTGGTGCCAAGGAGAGTGACACGCACTGGGTCCTGGCCAGTGATTGGCAGCAGAAGCCCAAGTCACATGGCTGCCGCCGGGGTCATTACTGAACCAAGCAAGGCCTCCACCACTAAGTGAACACACTGCCCAAGAGTGAAATGCCCCCCGCCCCTTTTTTTTTTTTCTGTATTCAGTTTTTTCCAATACAAGGTCAGTGACTGAAAATGACAGGAAATAGATGACCTTCGTTTTCAAAAACCAACAGAAAATTGCTTTCAAATTTCATGCTAAATCAACTCACAAAGAGATATGAAAATTTTAAAAAATGAATTATTAGGATTATCATCCAGAAAAGGGGTGTCCGTTTTCCACCAGGACTGTAGGAAATTTCCTGTGACCTTAACAATGACTGGCATTTCATTAAAAAGCAATCACTGTCCACGTAACCTGGAGAAAATGGCTTGCTGTTTAACTACATATTTCTTTCAAGCTTAGTAGGGTTAATGTCATTCATTTGTCGACTGGGGTCATACTACTGGGTTGGCCAAAAAGTTTGCTTATGTTTTCCAGACCAGCTTAAGGAAAAATCCGAACGAATTTTTGTGCCAACCCAATGGACTTAGGATTGTACCCTTTTCTGCCCAATTTTTGGAAATGAATTCCAAGTTTGCCACTTGCCTTTAGTTTTTATTGGTGGTTTAAATCTTGTAAATATGACCTTTTACAGTTTAATACAGTGAAGTATTTAAGTCCTTCTCTTTGAAATATTTGTGACTGGTTATATTATTAGATGAACCTTCACTGACCAGAGACCAGTTGATCTTCACCTCTGTTTCTTCTTATTTTACTACAGTTTGGTGTGTTTCACTGAACTTTTCAATCTTTCCGAAATTTATTTTGCTGTACAGTCAAAGCATGTTTTCATTTATTTCCACTTAGCAAAACCTCTCTCGGTCATAAATGACGTTGACCATCCCCTATGGATTTCAATTACAGGGTGCATTGCATGTACATTGAGGTCTGTTTTCAGCCTCTTTGCCTCAGCCATCTGCCAAGGAAAAAGTCAGGACCACATTGTTTTAATCCCTAAAGTTTACACAACATCTTAATATCTAGCAGAATTACTTCTCATAATTACGTTGCTTTCTACCAATTCATATTTCTCAGTTCATATTTCTTCAAATGTATTTCAGGAAGAGATTCTCAGTCCTTTCTGAAGAACTAAGCATCACTGCAGTTGGTCCTTAGGCTTGTACCTGGCACCCTGGGAAGTATAAAGGCAGGGCCTTGGGGCCGCTGATGTGCTGTCTGGGGTCCAGGGCGAAGATAACCATCCCACCCTCCCTCAGTAATTAATAAGGAAGGGCCAGGACACTGAGGGAACCCCAGTCCTGAGACTGGGCTGTCCTTGGTCAGCTAAGTGGAAATAAACGAGTAAAACTTGTTCATCTACATTCTTAAGGAAAAATGTTAAGGGGACATCTCAATAGGAAAAGTAGCCATAAAAGTCTTGCTATCCTCTTTCTGGTTTCATTAGAAAAACTAAAGTCTAGAAACTTCGCAGACAACTCAGACCTTCACACGTATGAACACCAGCCCACAGGCACACACACCATGCGTGTGTGTGAAGGGTCTCCTCTAATGAAGAGTCATGCTGAAGCGTGTTCCAGCCACCAGCATGGGGGGTGTACATGGCGTGGGCTTCTTCAGAGGGCAAATTTTAGGTTTTCACATGTACTAGTTCCCTTGGGCTTGCCATAGCACAGTACCACAAACTTAGTGGCTTACAGTGACTGAAATTAGGTACGAAACTTGGTAAACTGTAAGCTGAAGACCAATTACATGGGCCACAGACGCTGTCTGAACACTGACTGTCTCTCCAGATGGATCCTTCTGTGCTTCTGGGGGTAAGGTTGGCTGAGCCATGCTGTGGGACCTCGATGAAGGCAAGCACCTTCATGGGCTAGACAGAGGGAACATCATTAAAGCCCCGTGCTTCAGTCCCGGCTGTTCTGTCTTGGTGCTGCTGCAGGCTCAGCACGAAGATCTGGGAGTTGGAGGGCAAAGTCACTGCAGATGAACTGGAGCAAGAAGCTTTGAGGACCAGCAGCCGGACAGAGCCGCCCCAGCGGACATCTCTGGCCTGGTCTGCTGATGGCCACACTGTTCGCTGGCTGCACAGACAACCTGGTGCAAGTGTGAAAGGTGACCATCGGCACCCACCAGAAACATGGCAGACCTTTAAAAATGAAAAGCCTGGTTTTGGAAAGATAAAAGACGTGTCGGCTGGGCCATGCTACCCCTAAAGGCCCTAGGGGAGGGCCCTTCCTTGCCTCATCTGGGACCGGCTGCTGGCAATCCTCAGCATCCTTGGTGGTCCTCAGCAGGCAGATGCATCACTCCAACCTCCAGTCCTGCCTTCAAAGGCAGCCTTCCTCATGGACAAGTGTGTACACTATCTCCCCTCTGCGTGCCTCTTCTTTCCTCTTCTTATAAGGACACCAGTCCTACTGGATTAGGACCCACCCTAATGACCTCATCTGCAAAAGTCCCATTTCCAAATAAGATCACATTCACTGGCTCCAGGGTCAGGACTTCAATGTCTTTTGTGGGGGACACAATTCAACCCACAACAAACATCAACCAACCTTGTTCACTAAAGTCATCGCGTAAACCAGCAATTCCGTGTCGACCCCATCCTTTTCCTCCAGGATTTCCATGATATTTGACCAGGGTGTGACTCCTATGAATAAAGCAAAAATCATGAGAAACAGCAATTCGGGTGGGACTCCTTATCCAACTCACATCACAGTTTATCCAGACTCATCACCCAATGACAGTAATGCCTTTCACCAAATTTCAAAGCATGACTCTGTACATCCTTCCAATGAGGTGATGATATGCCGTGTCATCCTTGTCTACTTGAAAATGTATATTTCTCATGTAGGATGCCTATCAGTTTGCTCGAAAAGTTTCCTTTATACTAAATAGGCAATTTTTTTAAAAAATCCAATTATATGTAGCTTTTTTAGACCATGGGTTTTACTCTCCGAGTATGGAAATGTTCTGGAAGTACTCTCTGTGTGTGTCTATCTCCTGCAAGGAAAGAGGATTCAGGAGAGCTTTACAGTCACTCAAGCAAAGGACTCAAAACAGTAACAGTGAAACATCCATCTAGCAAACATTTCCAGAACAGAAGTATATTATCTCTATTCTATCAAGTCACAAAAATACTATTTAAGCATCAAACAGATACAAGGAATTGGGTCTCTAGAAGGTGGCCCTCAAAAGGTCTACAGTCAAATGGAACAGTCAGGCACAAACACAGAACACATGTCAGCACAGGGTAAAAGCAATTAGAAGGCAAAGCGCTTAGCCACGCCTGTCATTAAACAAGAGAGGTCTGTCTTTTGAAGTGAGATGGTTGAGGAGGGTTTGGTGCAAGAAGTGACTCCTCAGTGAGACTGGCGGTGGGGGCTCATGGAGGTTGCCCCACGGCTTCAGGGAGGGCAGGAAAACCCTGCATGTTCAGGATCACTGAGCCAAGGCCAAGGCCACAAAGGGAACACACACACTGACATGATTTTCCTACACTGGGGATAAACATCTGCAGTGAAGTGCTGCCTTGCCCTTGGCATGGTAGTGTGGAACATGCAGCTCTTTCCTGGTTTCTCTATAAAGATCTCAAAGGGATATTGCCTATTTTTGCTGATAAAAGTAAATTCTGAAATAACCTGAAACCAGTGGGGTTTCAAATGCTGATTGTTGGATGGGTTATGTCAGAGCTGATTTCCTGGTCTTGTGAACAAAAGCTCCCCCAGGGAAGTGATGGCATCTGTCTTGTCTCTCTGCCCTTGGCAGAGTGCCTGGCACATATTAGGTGCTCAATAAAATGTCTGCTGACTAGTCAATGGGGATCTCTGAGAGGGCACAGGGTGGGTTTAAACTGGGGTAGTTTTTAAAGAACCAGAGAATTCACTGCACACAGTAAGGAGACAGGACAGGAGAATTTAAAAAGGATGAGGCACCTACTGTACTACATGAAAGACACAGATAAAATTTCATGTACAGGTCTATTGGTGATCTCAGCAAAGGAACAAAAATGCCTTTTCCTTTGGGCTAGTTGCTCAGTTAGTCCAAACTAGAAATCTATGACTAAGCTTCTATGACCCATTGTTACTCCGAACACAAAAGCAAGATCCTTTGAGTGCTAACTGCTGAATTATCTTCTTGCTGATACTTATCACCAAATTATCTTGACGTCCACACCTCTTCTTCACAGCCCAGCAAAGTAACCATTTCTGTCCTCAAGATAATCAACGTGGTCAGTAGGTCTCATTGTCTAAGTGTAGGTCAAGTGTTCTAAATGCCTCTGCTTGTGCTTATGAAAGGGCAACTTCTGTCACTCATACTCACACCCAACCTCAGTACAAAACATGAAAACATGAGTTCTACNTAGGTCTCATTGTCTAAGTGTAGGTCAAGTGTTCTAAATGCCTCTGCTTGTGCTTATGAAAGGGCAACTTCTGTCACTCATACTCACACCCAACCTCAGTACAAAACATGAAAACATGAGTTCTACATGGGTAAAGAAAAGCCTGTCCAAGAAAGACAGCATTGATGCAAAGAATTCCCACTGGGACTCAGGCCCCAAAATGCTTCTTGGTTGCTTAATTTGGAGCCAAAGATGTCAAATGGGGCCTGTGGAAGGAGAGGAAGGAAGCAATGGCAAGCATCCCAGAGAGAGAGAGGTGGATGGTCTATCTCATGCCTCTTTCTCTCTCTTATGCAGACGCACGTATCTATGCACCACTTTATCCATTATAATGAAAGCACTCAAACAGAGGCTTCATTTAATAAAAAACATATTCAGGGCTCCTCTGGTGGCTCAGTGGTAAAGAATCCACATGCCAATGCAGGAGATATGGATTTGACTTGATTCCTGGTCTGGAAAGATCCCACATGCCACAGAGCAACTAAGCCCAGGAACCACAACTACTGAGTCTATGTGCCGCAAGTACTGAAGCCCTCACGTCCTACAGCCTGTGCTCCCCAACAAGAAAAGCCACCTCAATGAGAAAACCATGCACCGCAACTAGAGAGTAGCCCCACTCCCCGCCACTAGAGAAAAGCCCACACAGCAATGAAGGTCCAGCACAGCCAAAATAAATAAATAAAGTTTAAAAAAGATATACACAAAAAGTGTTCTTCAGTTATAATATCTGATTCCCTTTTTATCATTTAAGGATTTCGAATCTGGAAATTTGCATGTAATCAGACACTATTGGGATACATGCTCACTATCCTTTGACTGTTTGGGGACCAGAAAATAGGAAATTTTTAGAGGAATGAAGGGGAAGGTGAGGACACCTTCTAATTCAACACAAATACCTTGTCAGGGCTCCAACTGGCCTGCATCAAGCACCAGCAGTTGTAGCTGTCCCAGGAGCCCATCTGTCAGAACTAAATGGTCCAGTTCAGTGCCCCACTCCATCCACACCTTCACTGCTCCATATGGGGTTTCGTGTGTGTATGTGTGGGTAGCAACTAACACTTTCCCTGGGGCTTCCCTGGTGGCTCAGACGGTAAAGAATCTGTCTGCAATGCAGAAGACCCAGGTTCAATTCCTGACTCGGGAAGATCCCCTGGAGAAGGCAATGGCCACCCACTCCAGTATTCTTGCCTGGAGAATCCCATGGACAGAGGTTACAGTCCATGGGGTCACAGAGTTGGACATGACTGAGCAAATAACATGTGTGGGGTGGCCCTGTGTTAGACCATAAACCACACGACCTTCCCCCTTCACATAACAGAGAACAAAATTGAACAGAGTAGTAGAATGAACAGAGGCTCGGGGGAGGCATGTGAACTGGTGAGATGACATCCACCCTAGCGGCTCACTGTGAGGTGTCCCAGAGATATGGCACTTTGTTGCCCCTCCTGAGTGCTGATGCAGAACATCAGGAGATGGTCACTTCCTTCATCATCACTGTCCGTGTCTCTCCAACTCCACCTCCAGCACTGGAGTGAGTATAGGATCTATGACAGCCTGCTTTCTCTCTGAAGTTTGAAGGCACATGATTGGCACTTAAATATTTCTTTGTAATCCCATGGACTGCAGTCTACCAAGCTTCTCCATCCATGGGATTTTCCAAGCAAGGGTACTGGAGTGGGTTGCCATTTCCTTCTCCAGGAAATTCCTGGATTCCTTCCTAACCCAGGAATCAAACCCAGGTCTCCTGCATTGCAGACAGACGCTTTACCCTCTGAGCCACAGGGAAGCCCTAAATATTTGTTAAACAAATGAATTTTATACGAAAAATGCTTAGAACGGTGTCTGTTGTGTGACAGGCACATGGACAGCAGTAGTTGTCACTGAGAGGAGGTGGTGGGCAGGGGACACCCATGCTGCCCCCTAGGCCTGCCCTGCAGGCTTCCTGGCCAGGCCCCCTCCTCCCAGCAAACCACGTCACCCCGCTCTCAACCCAGAATGAGTAAGCACAGGATAAACCGCTCAATACTCCTGTCCTCTTACCCTCTTCCAAGTCTCTGTATTAAACCCCAAAGAAAATAACATATTTTGCATGACGCCTTGTATCCAAGTTGGTCTAACACTCAAACACAAGGTCCCAGAATTGTGTTCCGTCTCTTTCACTGTGACAGACGAACACTTAACGAATACGCTTCTGCTCCAGATAACCATGGAAACAGCTTGAGTTCTGTGCACTCTGACCTCTGCCATGCTCTGTGCAGTCTTCACAGAGCAATGTACCCTTAAGCACAAGTCAGAGACAAGATGGCTTGAAAGGATGTCTGGATTCTCCACCCACCTCCCCAACCCCGTTAATCATGTGTGAGACACATGTTTAAAAATTATGTCATATCTCATCACCTCACATTCAAATGAAAAATGGCACCTCTTCAAAAGCAGTGCTGAACCAAAATTAGCAGGACTCAAGATTTATGACTGAAATTTCAAAATAAGGTACCCCATCTGGTCACTTACCCCACCCTCTGTCTGGGAGGGAAACCCAAACAGTCAGAGGGAGGGGCACCCTGCCCAGGGGAGCAGGGGGTTCTCGGCCAGTTTCCTGCTAATCATTAGAGTGAAGAAGTCTTTGACGATGGCAGAATGACAAAGCAAAGCCTTCCCATGGGCTTCCATGACTGCTTACTGCCATTCTCTCTTCCTGCCTGGCGCTGTCCACTAGGAAGGGAAAGTGACTTGAAGACACATGCAAAGGAGAAGACGTGCCAGCAGCCTGCACAGACAGGTGTGACCCTGAGCCATGCCTTAGAGACTAACTCAAATCCATGGTTTCATTCTAGCACCTGAGCCGAAGTGCCAACTGCCACGATCAAACGGGGCCATTTTAACCTTCATTAATTAACACATATTTATTAGTCCCTATGATACACCTAAATCCCTCAGCTTTTATTGCTGCTCCCTAACTGGCCCACTGTTGGCAGAACAGTAATCTGTCCATCCATGCTCACAAATGAACCTTTCCCATTAACCCATGTGTGGGATATGCTGTTTATACAGCAATCAGAGGAATTTGTTCTTGGAAAACTTCATTTGCTAGTAATTTCTGAGAACTTGTGGCTCACTTGTTGACTTTCCTTGCTGATTCTTTAAACCTACCATTTCTCATCACCCAAAAGAATTCCTTTCTGTTAAAAAGGTCTGCACATTAACATGCCCATTTTCCACCCTAACCTCCAAAAGAATGAGTCCAAAACCACCTTGAGGAGTCACATTTATGGTGGATTTATAAACTTGTGTAGAAATGGACGTACTCAGCTGGCCCTTGGTCACCTCTGGCATGTCTACCTACTCGCTCACTCCAGTCCAGAGGGACTGGAGAGCAGCTTCTCAACCTGCCAGGTGGAAACACACCTGCAAGTCATGCTTCCCTCCGCAGAAGAGCATGACATATTTATGTGTGCAATTCCAGCACAAAGTTCAGGAACAGTTTTACTAGCAGTAACATAGGATGGTGTTATATATATGTGTTATAATGTCATGGCCAAGACCACACATGTCATAGAGAAATATGCGACTGAACCACACATGATAAGCTATGGCTGAGTTTTTCCATCAGTGTTGATCCTTTTTGTTCTCAGCTGCTAGTGCTCAGTAGCAGTCAGATGATAATACTTGCCAAAAGCTTAAGAAATTCATTGGAAAAACCATGAAGTTGAGAAAACAATCCATTCACTGTTATGACTTTATTTTTACAAATTGGGAAAGAGCGGCCATCACTTTGTCTTGGGGGAGAGAGTACAGCTGAGTGTACAGCTGGGCCTGCAGGTGGAGACTTTGGGGTTGGCTGCATTCAGGATCACTCCTCTACCCCAAATGGTCTCTCCATGAGATATGCAGTCTGAGGAAGGACGCTCTGAGCTCCCAAACCAGTGAACTAAAGCGAGAACCTCAAGGTCATAAGAAGTTTGTCTGCTTTAACATGGCCCACATGACAAGGGCCCAAGGGTTACCTGAAATTTAGGATAGGAAAATGAAGAATCTGCTAGTTATCCTAAAGTAACTCAAAGAGTTGGAGAATACAGCATGAATCTTCTTCCAAGGAGGAATGAAAGGATCAGCTTCACTCTCTTCCCAAACATCCATCTTTGACCCTCAGCCCTGGACTGGCCTTGGGAAAGCCCACCCTGGCTTCTGAGTCATTGGGAGCCTTCATTAGGATCCTCAAGGGGTCCCCATGATGTGCTTTAGGCCGTGAGGGTCTTCATGCTCATGCTTCAGATGGCAACAAGCCTGGGCAGAAAAACCTGCCCCAATCTGCCATCAGCCTTCCAGACTCACAGCCCCTGATCACACACTAGGACTGTCTGCGGTACACGCACACACAGGCCCGGAGTTGCCTCCTTCCTGCACTCCACCATGCTGGGGACTGACATCTGCCTGTGAGTGTGTGGGAAATGTGCAGAAGCCCAGTTCAGGGTCCTGGATGGCTTTCATTAACTTATATTCAAACTTTCAAAGCAACTAGGAAGCTGCTTTCTTTCATCTTTACATTCAGCCCTGAATGTGGGTCTCTGAACAACACTGAGTCAGAGACACAAGTGGTTTGAATCAGAGAAGGCTACAGAGGCCTCTCATTTCTTTTCATCAGTTGTCCCTGAGCTGACTTGTACATAAACATGTGTGTCCATACATACATACAGCCATACACCAACATGTTAACAGCAATTCTATCCGGTGAGACTACAGGTAAATTTTTATGGTCTTCTTTACACTGTTTTTCCCAAATTTTCTACAGAGTATTTCCATTATAAAAAGAAAATAATTAATGTTAATAAGTTTTTGTTCTTGTTAGAGTCTTGGTGGGGATGAAAATATTAATGAACATGTCCTACTGAGGAACAAAACCTAAGTATTTGTTAGTCACTCAGTCATCTCCGACTGCAACCACAAGGACTGCAGCCCACCAGGCTCCTCTGTCCATGGGATTCTCCAGGCAAGAATACTGGAGTGGGTTACCATGCCCTTCTCTAGGGGATCTTTCTGATCCAGGGGTTGAACACTGGTCTCCTGCATTGCAGGCAGATTCTTTACCATCCAAGCTACCAGGGAAGCTGTTTAAAAGAATAAAACAAAACAGAAACCCACTTCAGAATCAGGCTTCACAATATTAAAGGGGACACAGCATGTCATGACATAAACCAAATCCAAAGCTCATTTGTCATCAGGTGTGCAGGCTGGCAGTAGGCCTTCCTGCTGTGGGTAAGCCAGGTGCCAGGACACCCAGAGCCGACAGGCACCCCACTGTCTAGCAGGAGACACACTCCTGAGAGAATGGGCAACGATAACAACACAGCAGAGATGAGGGGGGACATGGGGCTTTGAAAGAATATGCTCATCTGATCCAAGGTAGGGCGGGCCTGGTGCAGGCTGGGTGGGAGGTGGGGGTGGCGGGTAAACAGGGACTGGATGCTGAAGGATCAGTCCTAACCCTGTGGGCACTGGGAAGCCACTGGCAGGTTTCAGATGGAAAATGATGTGACCAAATTTGTGGTTTAGAAGAATCCTCCAATAACAGAGAGGCTGGTAGCATTTCGGGGAGGCAAAGGATACCTGGAGAGAGATGGTGAAGAAGATGCAAGGAATGTTCAAGGAACACTGTGGGGTGAGAGCCAATAAAGCAGGTAGGAGAGAGGGGAAGAGGGGAAGGAGCCAAAGTGACCCCAACAGGATGGGAAAAGAGGAGAACAAGCTGGTTCTGTGTGTTCAGTTGTGGGGGTTGAAGATGGAGCATAAAGATAAGCTGGAGTCTGACCTGTCCTGCCTGGGTCAGGGGTGCTTTTCTTTCACTGTTCCCTCCTTCACCTAATCTTTATACATATGCATCCTGAAACATCTGTTTCCTGATGTCAGAAGTCCACACAAAGGGAATTCTGTTCCTTCTTAATTCTGCTTTGAACATGGAAACAAAAAGTGGAAATCTTCTTACATCAGACACTTTTACTTGGATGACATAGCGGGCAGGGATCACTCACCCCTTTTCGTGTCCACGGCGGAGATGGCCTGAATCAGCAGAGGTGCATTGGACTCCGAGTATTCCACAAAGACCAGCAGCAGCTTCAGGGCTGTCTTCACCACCAGGCGGAACTGCGGAGACAAGACACAACCATCATGCAGCTGCAGATACAGCGGGGATGTCTGCAGGCTTTGTCCTGATAGCAGCTGGCGCCCAGCCACTCTTCTCAGCAATTACGCAAATTCCTTCACTGGACACTTCAGAACGCAGGTGTCAGTATTAACCCCATTGCACAGATAAGTAAACTCGGGCCCAGTCTCCAACTCAAGATCCCACAGTTAGAAATGGAATCAGAATTTGAACCCAAGGCCTTTGGCCCCAGGGCTCACACAGGGTGTCTGTCAATACAGGAGGCGGTGGTTGCTGGGTTGGTAACTTCATTCTAACCAGACTAGATCATTATGATGTACAGCAATCAAATCCAATTTTTTTTCTGATGAAGAAGCAGGCATGGCAGGCTAAATGACTTGTCTGATGCTGCAACAGGACGCTTGAATCAAGTTCAGGTTCTTAAAACTGCACAGGGAAGGCCATCTGGGTCCTCACCGCCACAGTCCTGGGCCCAGAGGACCGCACTCATGAGGAGCCTCACTCAGCCCAGGGCCCCTCCTCATGGCGACTGAAGGTCACTTACCTGGAGAAATGCAGGCGCCACTGATCCCTAACTCACTCAGCTGCCGGGGGTGGGGTGGGGTTGGGGGTGGACTGTGGCAGCCTGGGGCTTCCAGCTCAGCCCCCCACCCATCCCCACAGGCTTTGCCGCTGCAACCTTGACTCATGTCTCCTTTCCTGCACCTCACTTCCTCCTCAAAGAAATCACACACCACCTTCCTCCTGGAAACAGGTTCAAATCCCCCTTCTAGGAAACAGCATATCTGCCTCAGGGCTGCTCCTCGGGAGGTCTCCAGCAGGTGGCTGGCCAATGCCCCCCTGCCCCCACCCCTACCGCATGGGCAGAAAGCGCTCTCCTGGGGAGGCAGGCTGCTGTGCATGGGGTCTGCGGGGCCGGAACCACACCTGGGCCAGAGCGGGCTCAGCGGTGTTTGCTCGTGGCATGAATGAATCACCCACGGAGCAGCCAATCAGCCCTTATTCACTCTCCGTGACTGCAGAGAACCAGCTCTAGGCACTCCACCAGCTCTTCAGGCCCAGGGACTCCTGCATGGCCAGGTGTGCACTTTAGGGGGGGATGTGGAGCCCTGTACACACCAGGGGGACAGGGTAAAACCATCACCCACCCCAAGTCATTTCCCCAAATTCATGACCCCACCTCCCCCCCCACCCCCTGTCTTGTGTCATCTCCCCTAGTAAACCAGCTGGCTTTTCCTCGATTCCATAGCTCTCTCCAGTCAGAGCCATGGTTTCCAGCTCCCCTTTATAAGAAAATTGCTCAAAAGAGTTGCCATACTCCCTGATTCCCCTTCTCCATTTCCCATGGACTCCTCAACCCATCCTGACAGGGCTTCTATCTCCACGGCGCAGATTAAATTACTCTCGTCAAGGTTGCTGATGGCCTACATGTTGTCCAGGCTTCCCTGGTGGCTTAGACAGTAAAGAATCTGCCTGCAATGCAGGAGACCTGGGTTCAATCCCTGGGTCAGGAAGATCCCCTGGAGAAGGAAATGGCAACCCACTCCGGTATTCTTACCTGGAGAATTCCACGGACAGCAGAGCCTGACAGGCTCATGGGGTCACAAAGAGTCAGACACGACTGAGTGACTAACACTTTCACTTCCCATGGTGTCCAGTGGTTACTCTTCTAGGCTCATTTTAGCTCAGCTCTCATCAGCACGTGACAATCAACTGCTCCCTCCAGAAACAATTTTCTCATGCTGACCACAGTCTCCTCCCTAGGGGGCTACACTAGCTGGCTCCTTCTAAGAAGCTCAACCTCCAGGTGTGGGGAGGCCTCAGAGTTCACTCCCCCATCCTGCTCCCTTGCCACACACTCTGTCTAGATGAGTTCATCCAGGCCCTTAACTGTAAATCCCATTTATGCCTCAATGCCCTTCAGATCTGGCACCTGACCTCACCACTCTTATGGGCCCCCAAGTTCAATGTAGCCCAAAGAGGACTCTCTTGATTTGCACTTGTGCTCATCCTGTCCCACCCACTACTTCCAGCGTGTTCCTTCCACAAGTCCACACCTCAGGACAAGGCCCCACCATTCACTCACTGCACATGGGAGCCACCCTGCCCTCCTCCCTCCCAATTTCACAATGACTCTAACCATCAGGGCTGTCAGCAGCTGTCCCTGCCCTGACTCTGCCCACAGCCCCCTCTCCCTGTCCACCTGAGACCACTGTGAGAGCCTCCTCAGTACTTCTGGGCTTATCACCCTGAAGCCCTTTCTCTAAACTTCAGCCGGAGTGACCCTGGCACTCTCAACTCTTCACTGGCTCTGCATCACATTCAGGGTGGCGTCCAACCAAGCTCTCTGTCCTCTTCCCCGGTCACTCCCCTTCTGCCCGGGGCACTCCCATCAGCCACCTCTCTTTAGTCACGTGACCATGTGTTTTTCACATACTGAAGCTTGTGCCTGACTCAAGAGTTTTCTCATTGGCTATTCCCTCACCAGTCACCACAGGACTGGCCTTTCCTTCTCTTCCAGGTCTGAGAGATTTCCCCTCATGGGAAATAACTTTTCTGACGACTTCATCTAAAGGAGCCCCTTGGTCACTCACGTCAACCTGTTCTGTTTTATTCATGTCCTTTATCGTGACCTGAAACTGCTACATACACGTTCACTCACCTGATACACACGTCACGCCTGTCTAGAGCAGTGGGTCCCTTCCCCAGGGGATCTTCCCGACCCAGGAGTTGAATCAGGGTCTCCTGCATGTCAGGTAGATTCTTTACCAGCTGAGCCACCAGGGAAGCCCCAGAGCAGAAGCCACCTGGTGGCGGAGATGCTGTTTTTTCTGACACAGCAGAAACCGCCTCTGCATCCAAGGGGCTGCGGGGTCAGTACTGCACACAAAGGGCAGGCTGGAGTACCCTCTTCACCAAGGCTTGGCCTACAAACCCAACCACTAATGTGTGTGGAGCCAGTCTCCTCAGCCCGCTTGGACCCCCGACGGCCCCCCAGCCCTCAGCAGGGCTGGGCCCCACCCCCGCAAGTGCACTCAGGACAAGCAGCGCCTTGGTCTGCCATCCATCCGCCCTGCAACATCCTTATCAAATGGGACCTGAGTTCTGGTGAGGGCTCTGAACTCTCTAGAGCACATTCACCTTTTGTCACCCGCGTCCCACATTCTCTGTTCTCCCTAACTGGAAATAGACTAAATTCCAGAGTGTTTTTCTCCACAACTACAAGGTGGGGGGTAGGAGAGGAAGGCATGGCACGATGAACTGTGCTATCTTGGTACATGTAGAGCAGAAAAAATGTCTTCAAGTAAATAAAACAACCCAGCAAGCCCAGGCTTGGCGCCCTCCTCGGTGGGTGGACTATTATTATGTGGTTTGAGCCTCCTCGGTGCCTTCGTGGGAAAGAACCTGGCTGCTGCCCAGCCCATGGCCCCATCAGCTGGTCTCAGCTGGGCTCCCTCCTGGGCATCTCTGTGGTCACGGGGCCTTGGCTGACAGGGTACCCAAGGACCCACTCTCCCTTACAAGGTTCTCTAAGCAAGAAACCACTGTTTTCTCGGGAAGTCTTCTTTCCCTATTAGTCTCAACATGCCTGTTCACGTCGTCTTCTCCTTTGCTATGAAGGCTCTGCTTAGAGATCGTTTGCCGCTGTAATTTTATTTTTAAAAAACCCCTAAACTCTTTTGATTCATGATTTTAGGCTTCTGTGAATTTGGCTTCTATTCGGTCTAAGTTGATGTTTATGTGTGTTTGGAAGCTTTACTATGTAAAATTAATCACAAACATATTATATAGTTAAACTACTTTAGAAAAAAGAGAGCATTAGCACATTAATTTAATGGAAATGAACAGTACTAATTGCTAGCATGTCCCAACTAATCATCAAAACACAACCAGCGGAGCTCCTCTTCTGAAATACCTCATTAGCATTGCTGTACCGACTTGAAAGTAATAAGAATTCCTGACTTCAAAAGATTTCTACACCAAATGCTCATTTTTCCAGAATTCACTTAATTTGATGCCCTCAAGTATCTGGAATGCTATCAAAACCCCCTAAAACCTTGGAACAGCCACAATGAAGGCCACACAGCTATTCCTCCAAGTCCAAACACGCTGCTCATCATCTCAGAGCTCTTAAAAATCCGCTGTACTTACTCTAAGACACATTCTAGCAGGAGTGGCCACTGAGCTTCCTGACCTGCTGAGAAGAGGTCAACGAGAGGCCAGTGATGAACCAGGAGAGGCAGGCCCACCATGGGAGCGGGAGCAAGGACCATGCATGAGGGGTGGGGAACACATGGCATGGATGCCAGCACACACACCACTGCAAGGCTCAGACACTAGAGGCTTCTCAAAGGGCTGTGGCAGTGACCCTCCAATGACATTTCATCTCTGCCTGGTGCTCCTTCATGTTCTAAGGGGCGGTTTCATCACAAACAACTTATAGGCTCAAAACTCTGCCTATCTGTCTAGCACTGGGGGCAATCACTAAGAACTGATTCTCATTCTTATGGAGCATGAACCACTTGAAAAGATAAAACAATTGGTCACAAAACAGTAACCAGGGCAACATGGAGTCAATCTCAGAAGCAGTGGTTCTGAGACCAACCAGACGCTGGGGGGTGTAGATTCCCTACATCAGAGGGCCTGAGCGGCCCTTGTTAAGGCTATTGCAGAAGCAATTCAGAACCTGGATGGGGATGAGCTGGCCGAGCTATCTAAGGTCCTTCCCAATCCCAAGATACTCTGATTCTTCTTTCAATGTCCTGAGTGCCTTCCAGATGCCCAGCACCCACTGAGGGTCCCTGGGGGGCGGGGGGTCAGGAAGCTGTAGCCCTACCTTTAAGGAGACAGTCATCCTGCTTTGGAGACAGGACTCAGAACACCTCCATGTGACATGGCTGAGGGCATTACTGGTGCCAGGGGCCCTCAGAGTCAGGCTACTGAGGATGGAGAGCTACCTCCCAGAGCCAGGCCCTTACAC